ATTATAACGAGAATGGTATGTCTGTTGAGCTTAGCCACATAAATCCTCCTAAGTTAGAAGGATCGGTGACCCACGAAGATCGTGAACTTGCCACTAAATATCTCACCGTTTTAAATACATTAGCTTTTGAAATGTCTAATTATTGCAACACCTCCTGTAAACGGGTATTTCTGAATCGAACTCACCTTTAAGTTAGGAAAAGTTTCAAATTCCTCTCCTGGCAGTGTAGACATGATGACCGACACATTTTCAGGTAAATTTCGAGGCCACCACTCCAGCCGTCTTCCACCATCCTCTGTAGACAGTTGATCAAGCGAGTCTAGAATGAGCACAACCCGCATTTCAGCACAAGCCTTTTCAAGGCACGTTGGAAAGAACTCTGATAACGACTTCATGTCCTTCAAGCAAATAATTACGTCCGTTAGTGAGTGTAGAGGGAAGCGTTAGGTGAAGATCTACCGCGGAGATTGGTGATGAAATCGTGAAAATTACAAAATTCAATTTTCCAAATCACGTTGTGAGAAATGTGTGGAGAAGAGATAAGGTAAGGGTAATTTTCATGAAGACCTTAAAAAATAATACACAGTAGCTAAATACGATACATTAATGCAAAAGAGGATGTGGAATCTCCGTAGAACAGTCACTCATAACTGAAAAGGAAAAAATTGTGATGGCCATGCTCCCGGGCCCCGGAGCACTGAGCTCAAAGAAAAAATAATCAGTAATGTGTGAAGGTAAAGGGGTAATGTGTGAAGGGGAGCAGGTTATCTAAGTTATCTAAGCAATTAAGAATCGTCTGAGCAYTAATCTTAGGAAGAGACATCACAATACAAAGTTTGCGAAGGTGCTTTACTCACATCCGGGATATTAGCAGTGTTCTGTCCCGTTAATTTGCACAGCTGTTGACAGATGCTTCGTAGCAGAAGCCTGGCACTAGACGAGTCTGGAGACGTTCCAAGAAACCTAAACACAGCAAAGCAGTTCTGATTTTCCAGCCAACGTTTCACGTCTTTGGCCATCTTTGCCAAGATGGAAGTCTTGCCGCAACCCGATTCACCATAAATCACAACAACTCTCTCCCCATTGCTGTTTATGAAACCGTCCCGAATTGTCCCCAAAAAGTCTTCCCTTCCGTAAAATGACTTACACTTTCGCAGACAAAAAGATGCGTGATCCAAAACTTCTTTCGTTAACGGGTCATTGATCTGCAGCGTATCACTCTCTTCCATTCCTTCCTGGATCATTCCACAGAGAGTTAAGTAAAACCTGTTGCATAGGTTTTCTATGTATTCTTTATGCTCCCGAGTAGAGACTGGGTCGACACCGTTGTCGGTCCATGAGATGTCGTACTGAATGACATTGTTGCTAGGCAACACTTGAGGCATCTCCTCGTCTTGTAACGAGTTTAAAAGCTCTTGCGCGGTCTCGTCAATATTTGAAGCATCCTGTGTTTTATCGATAAATTTGGACGCCTCAGATTTACGAGTGTTCTTTCTTAAATCCGCGATGACTCTTTTAAACCAAAAGCAGTGTTTTGTAGGTGACGGGGAATTGATAATGCCACGTCGAATTTCTTCTTCTGTCACTGAATCAGAAGGAAACGAACAACAGTTTTAGCTAAACGAGTTTCTATTTTGCTAAGCTGAGAATTGATTTGTTTCAAAATTCATACAACCGGGAGTGACTTTTGTCGATCACGGCCAGGTTACTTTCTTTCAAGTTTTGCCCCTACTTAGTTCCAAGCATTCAGCTTAAATGCACAATGTGCAAAGTGAAAGATACCATTTTCTTCGATCGAAACATTTCAATAAAGAACTCACTTCTTATACAGTTATTGAGTGGAAAAGTGCCAGGTTGCAAAAACTAATTATGCTTGCTGACTCGAAAAAAAAAAAAAAAA